CCCCCTTTGTGTACACTACCCATTTTTTTAATGTACAATGCCCTTTCTTTTTCCAGTCAATCCCCCTATTCCCCTGTCTTCCCAGGTCCATACTCGAATCCATAGGACCTCAAACAGCAAGAAGACGTCCCCTACATACGAGGGCGCTGCGGCTACTTCCCGACGAAGTATCGCCTCCTCGACTTCCTCTCCTACCTCTAGTCGGTAGTCCTTAAGCTCCTTCAGGATCTCGACCACTTCCTCTGCCCGGTCCCCGTGAAACGGCCCGAACTGCAACGACGCTTCGTAATAATCGTCCGACAACCAGGTGAAGCCTAGCTCTACCTCGTCCATGGACTCCGCTACTGCGCTGATATGTTCGTACCCTCCGAACCAATGTGCAACAAAATGCGGCACCCTCACCTGGACTAGCTGGTAGGGGAGCCTAAGGTCCTCCCATCCACCCATCACGACCCTGCTTCCCACTTCATCCCACCCCTCATTTGCAAAATCCTGCCCCATTTCCCAAGTTAACCGCTCGGCATCCTCTAAAGTCCACATCGGATCTCGTCCCTCCGCTAGGTGCGTGCAAAATATATACCACCCATTCTTTGAAAGGCACACCGTCCCAAGTGCTTCCACGTTCCCCTCGGCTATGTCATCCCATGCCTCATTTTCTCGAACCGGATCCCACACCCGTTCTACCCACAAAAAGGACATAGTCGGTACCATCTCTACTCCCACCCAGTCGCAGGCCGCGCCACGCCACTCGTTCCTTGTTGGCAAGACCATCTCTGCCCCGCCCTCAACCTTCCTAGGTGTCCATCCTCTAAACATCCGCGCCCACAAGCTTTGCTCCCTTGCCATCCTTGATTCCCTGCACACCCCCATGCGACCCAACCACTCCGTCCTCAGCCCCCCTTTTTCCTAGAAATCCCATTCCTAGATTTCCATCTCGTCCTCCTCCTCGGAGTCATCTTCATTTTCTTCGGGCCACAGGTCCCGTACACCCTCCAAAAAGATTTCCCCTACCGCAACATTCCTGTAAACTATCCGCCAGTGCACGTTGCTTGGGACGAACAGGCCGTCTGTGCTGAGATGGTTTAAAATCTCAGCCAGTTCCCTTGCCCAGTTTCCCTCGAAAGGTCCCATTTCGACCGACAGCCGGAAGAAATCTTGGCGGGCTCCCTAGTGCAACCCCAACCCTGCCATGGCCCTGCATATTCGCACCAACCTACTCCGGGTTCCAAAGACGGCGTCTACCATGAAGGGCGGCATGACACACCTTATGGCCCTGTACGGCTTCCGCACGTTTTCCCTATCCCCAAGTTCTACCCGCACATCAATCGATTCCATCGTCATTTCCACTCGCTGGCACGCGGCCCACACTACTTCCCACTCGGCCTCCCTGAACAGTTTGTACGGAAGTTTCCCCAAGGCAAATTCGACAACCATCGCAGTCTCCCTCTCCTTTGACAGGTAGATCCATCCCCGGGCTTCCACGGTCCCCCGGAACTCTAAGACCAATAGGCAAGGCGTTATCCTGGCCAAGGTTACCTTAGTCCACATCGTCTCAATCCATAGGAAGGCATCACTTTTGGCCAGCATTACGGTTTGATAGGCCGACTCCAGGTCCGTCCACGTTCCTTCCTCTGGCATTACGACTGATACCCCACCCTTCACATCTATTGGCATCTCTGGTCCATCTGAGTAGGTCGGCGACGCCAGCCACTGCGCCATCCTATCTTCTTTATACCGGTAGCCAAGACCTGTTTCGTCCAATGAGCGCACCAATCGGCCCTTGGTTTAGGTCCACCATTATCCTAGATATGCGTTGTTTTTAGAGACCCCTCATCAAGGTCTCCCTACAACTCTCTACCCTTCCTCCAAGCGTATCAGCCAGCGCCACATCCCTAACCAGTCCCCCCCAATCGATCACCAGTGGCTCGCATTCCTTTTTCTTGGTTCCACTTTCTTCCGACTCCTGTCCAACCTCTTCCTCATGTTCTCTCACTCGTGCGGACTTAGACTTGGAGGTGAGAATAGACTTAGAAGCTCGGTCCCCTTCCAACATTCATCAGGCAACTTTACAGAGGGAGGCACAAAAAGCAAAACCAGACAAACGTCGCACACAGGTCGGTCGTCTCCTCACCGACCTTTTCCCCAAAAATGGTCTCTCCACTGTTACTATCGGCAGGTTTTTCAGCCCATACCCCAGCACAGCTCAACCGTCGTGAGCGCGGTACCCAAGTCTCGACAAGGCATTCGCCCTTTCCTCCTTACCCAGAATAACCCATCCCGACTTGCTGCTCGTGTACCCACCGTTAATCTCGGGAATCACCCCGCACATCTCGGTACGGCCATTGAAGCTTGCCGTCTAGGCATTCACTTCCATCGGTCCGATAAGGAACAACTCTTCCCAAGCCATGCTACGAGAAGCTTTTAATCGCCTCCGAGGCTCCTTCCTTGCCCCATATGCAGTGGTCCCCTTGCCGTCTGCCAACAAGCAGCCGCCCCGCCTGAAGAGGTTTCACATCCTGCCTGGGCAAGGTCATCGAGCCATGCTCGGACCGCTCGGGTGAGAATGCTACTAATCAGCAGACGAGACCAACCCTTGCCTGACAGTCCGATGGCCCGACCCCCACACACGGAACCCGGTGAACTTCAAAGAGGACGACCAGTTCGCATCCCGCACCGGCCGACGCAAACCAATCCTTTCCTTCCGAATGGCCGGACGCTCGAAATCCCAATCATGCAATCACAAGCCCCAAGTGGGACACACATAACATAGGTGCCTTTTCCCTGGTGCACCCAGCGCTTCCTACCCTTAGCTCACAATTTTTCTCTTAGGACAGTCTGTGCCACTCACCCCTACTTTCCATACATACATAGTGTCCGGTTCCTTTTGGTGAGCATCTTCAAGGGGGAGCTAGTTTTTCCCTGGAGTCTAGCAACTCCCTTCATTCCCTTCATCTTCACTTGTGTGTCCGTTCATAGGGCAGGATTGTTCCTTCTCGATTACCGTTTGTGTTCATATGAGGTTCCTTCAAGCATTTAAGTGTGGTGCACGGAGCCCGCTGGGCTCCGAAGAGAAGTAGAGACGCACCCAGGTCGGTCGGATCACTCCGCCGCCGGATTTCCATTAGAACCCGGACTGGCCTGAAATCCCAATCGCCTGCCAGGTAACCGGAGCCCTAATTTCGCACGAAGAGGAAGGGTCGACCTGCGGCTTGCCCAAGGCTTCCCCGGCCTGACGAACATCAGTCCAAGGGAAGGAGGACTAGAGTCATCTCCAAAGAAGATGGCTGACTAAAGTGCAAACATGCATGTTCTTCCTCCGGGCCTGGCCTTGCCATGTGCCCGGCCACCCTCAAATCTGATTCTCTCAGAGGATAGAGCATACACAAGTCCATATTTCTTATCTTTACGTTTGTGTTCTCGGTCATGCGTCGCCCCCCCCCCCTCGAGATCGTATGGGTCAACTTCACCCATACCCGGCACCTCCACCATTTTGTCGGGGTCGTATCCTGAAGGACTTTCGAGCCTTGGTCAACCCCTCTACGGGTCCCACTTGGCTCGACCCGCCCACGCTCACTCTCAGGGCACGGCTCGTTCGTCCCAGGGGCACCCCCACCTAGTGCTATGAGATGGATGGGGTTGGGCCATTAGGGCGAGAGAGCTTAACATTGGGGATGTAGCTCAGCTCTCTAGCCGGGTGAAAGCCTCACTGGTCTCGGTCCTCAGGCGTAAGGTTTTCGATTCTTTGTTTGTTTTACCAGACAATTGCTCCTTCTAATACTCAGGCAGTCCAGGGGGGTTCATTGAGAGCTTTCCCTTCTTTACAGTGCGTATGCTAAGCGTTCTCCTTAGGCCACGCACTCCTTCACCAACAGCCCTAGTTTCCTATAGCATCATCGGGGCGGCTCGTCCCTTTGCCCCTAGTCCCTATCTTCCCTCTAGTCGGCCTATGCATACATTTCTCAGGTCTCGTGACCGCCCTTAGTCCTTCCAGGCGGTCCTACCAAACTCGCGACCCAGCCACAACCACACATCACGCCAATGTCAGGCTCCAACCCCATCCCCGACCCTTAGTCTTTTCAGGTCGCGCTAGTCATGCAATCGTCAAAGCCCAAGGTCCATCCCGGCCGTCGGAGATTCAAACCCCCTCCTCCTCATTACAGTCCCATGTCGCACAATCCCTTCATTGCCAGATCGTCCAAGCCACTTACCTGCAACACATCCAAATAAACATGACTATGGCATACGTCCGTCCCCGATGGGTTCAACACACCGCCCCTCATGCAAGTCCAAGTCTCCCCCTTCCTTTTTCTTGCTTTTGGGTGCCTTCCTTCCTTACAGTCAAACCACACTCTTCTTACTCAGGCATGCAGTCGAGGAGGTGGTTGAGTCGACTGACCTTGTCCAAAACAACACTCCCTTTTGCTCTCACCAACGTCCTCAATAGTCTTGTATCCTTCTTGGTGGCACAAGGGACCGGCAGCCCTTCCCTTGCCCTCGCTCTCCACCAAGTGAGGACCAAGTTCCTTACCGTTCGTTCCCTGGCAATGTAACGGTGAGGATAGAAGTTAGTCACATGCCATGGAGGGGAATGGGTGACGGAAGGCTTTAGGGGTTAAGGAATTTTGAAGGAACGGAGGAAGATGAGAGGAGAGGGAGGGAGAGAGAGAGCGCGAGAAAGATGAGAGAGAGAGAGAGAGAGAGAGAGAGAGAGAGAGAGAGAGAGAGAGAGAGAGAGAGAGAGAGAGAGAGAGAGAGNGAGAGAGAGAGAGAGAGAGAGAGAGAGAGAGAGTTTCACATCCTAATCGACCTCGATCATCGACTTATCCTAATCGGTGGCTAGCCTATGGCGGACAGTGTAGGTGAAGGAGGGATACGGAGGTTGAAGGTGCATGGCTACGGTGCATGGACGTAGGTGAAGGAAGGGGGTGGAGGTTGAAGGTGCATGACTATGGTGGACGGGTGTAGCTGAAGGAAGGAGGCGGAGGTTGAAGGAGCATAGCTATAGCGGACAGGTGTAGGTGAAGGAGGGAGGTGGAGGTTGAAGAAGCACGGCTATGGCGGACGGGTGTAGGTGAGGGAGGGAGGTGGAGGGTGAAGGAGCATGGCTATGGCGGACGGGTGTGGGTGAAGGACGGAGGCGGAGGTTGAAGGTGCGCGGCTATGGTGGATGGGTGTAGGTGAAGGAGGGAGGTGGAGGTTGAAGGTGCGCGTCTATGGTGGATGGGTGTAGGTGAAGGAGGGAGGTGGAGGTTGAAGGTGCATGGCTATGGTGGATGGGTGTAGGTGAAGGAGGGAGATGGAGGTTGAAGGGGCATGGCTATGGCGGATCGGTGTAGGTGGAGGAAGGAGGTGGAGGTTGAGAGTGCATGGCTACGGTGGATGGGTGTAGGTGGGGGAGGAGGATAGAGGCTGTGGGTGCCTCCCTATGGTGGATGGGTGTAGGTGAAGGAGGGAGATGGAGGTTGAAGGTCATCGCTATGGTGGATCGCTGTGGGTGGAGGAGGGAGGTGGAGGTTGAGGGCGCATGGCTATGGTGGATGGGTGGAGGTGGAGGAGGAGGATGGAGGTTGAGGGAGCCTGGCTATGGTGGAAGGGTGTAGGCGAAGGAGGGAGATGGAGGTTGAAGGTGCGTGGCTATGGTGGATGGGTGTAGGTGAAGGATGGAGGTGGAGGTTGAAGGTGCCTCGCTATGGCGGATGAGTGTAGGTGAAGGAGGGAGACAGAGGTTGAAGGTGCATGGCTATGGTGGATCGATGTAGGTGGAGGAGGGAGATGGAGGTTGAGGGCGCATGGCTATGGTGGATGGGTGTAGGTGGAGGAAGAGGACGGAGGTTGAGGGTGCCTGGCTATGGTGGATGGGTGTAGGTGAAGGAGGGAGATGGAGGTTGAGGGTGC